TTCACCGGCCGTCGTCCTCGCCGGAGTCGGCTCTTCGCTCTAGGTTTCCCTGGCAGGTATCATATGATTAACGTAGCTACGGTCTGGTATGGTTGCAAAACTGTCAAGGTTTACCTACTTCGACGATTCAACAAGTATGCGGGCTATGTAATAGCACTCTACGCGTCTATAATAAACCTCTGAAATACTAACATAGTATAGGTGTAGAATACCAACCACGAGCAACCATGAATTGATAGTCAAAGACAACTGATATACACTTTGTGGCCACGTGCGGCTTCGTGGAGCTAATGCCAACTTAGACTTTAAATACCCGCTGCCCTTTATCTCGCAATGCGGACATTCACGAGCGAATCAGCCATGCTAGTATATACCTGCAGGCTCCGTTGCTGAAATATATGAAAAAAAAATACTGCACGAGTATATAGTTTTAAATTTTAGATCTGGCAGATTGCTGTAGAATGCAAGCTTCGCGGTGATATTGGCTATTAAATAAGTACGATTTCTTTTTTTTGCTGAGCTATAATGAATTGAATATTATTAATAACCGCTTCCAGAACATCTCCACCGTATCGAAATGAACATGGAGTCTCCCTTTACCAATCTTCGCGACTGCAATGACATTATGAGTCAGTGCTGATAAGATTTATTTATTTTTGCATGCAGTTCCTACAGTAATTCCAAGAACGCTGAGCACCTCGACTATAGAAGTTCTGCTGATCTGTAGTCCTTGATCGCGTGAGAAAACAGATGACGTGGTGTTGGTCCATGATTATGGGACGACAATTGCTGCTATTGGTTAATGTTGATCTTCTGTGACAGGTCACAATCCAGAATGCATAACGACTAACGTGTTGACATCAACAACATTCCATCAAACAACTATGTCACCGAAGGCAAGACAAGCCATCGGCATGATCTAAATTAGATGAGGATCCTCACTTTACAATGTACCAGCAAATACACTTAACAATAACTTCCTGGAGCCCACGCCAGATCCCTTCTGTGTCTTCAGGTGCCTGAACACACAACACTGTGTTGCCGATGTCTACAAGCCCCAACTCGCCAAGCGCGCCCAGTTCCTCTTCTTCATCAATGGGCTGAGTCCTTAACCAAGACTTGGGCGGACGAAGTGCACAGTGAATGGAAACGCGAGCAGTGTCGTCAATACTCCAGGCATTTTCGTTCTCGCAAGCAGCAAGAATTGATTGAGCTACGACGGCAACAGGACCACCTTGAGGTTCAAATCAAACCGTTCGTCGCAGCCATTGGTCAGTCATCAACCAGGAAGCCGACTAACTCCAGCGAACTATTCAAAGCGCTTGGCTGTCTCTCCATTGAGAGCGAGACGTTGATGAGATAAAAGCTGCTGCTGAAGCAAGAACTCTATAGACACGAGTACTTCCTGAACATCGCA